TGTATGTATGTATGTGCGTATATGTGTGCGTGAGGGTATATTATACATATACAATGTGTCATATATATATATGTACATATAGTGTAGATCATAAGCTGGGACCATTCGGGGAAGGGGCATGCCGGGGCGCAATCAATCATATATCTGTGTCTGTGTGTGTGTATGTATGTATGCATGCATGTATGTACGTGTGTAAATATGTATGTACGTATGTACACTCATGCATGTTTTGAGGTACATGTGCATGTGATATGTTCCTGTATACTTGCTAGAGAAGTAGTAGATGGATAGGAAGCTAGAAATATTCACATAGCAGACATGTTTGCTTGATTGTTTGAGTGATGCAGGTGGACATGGAAACAGTCCCTGGTGCACATCTGTCGGAAGAGGTCTCGCGCAGTGTTATACCGGAATCGCAGTGGTGACCGGACAGGATGTTAAGCAGTTTATCCAAAGATTGCTTGTAATTGCTACTTCGGGGTTCCACGGCAGGGAAAGGCTGCTCATCTTGCGGAAGTCGATCGACGCAGCTTCCTTATGCTTCCTTGCGGGAGCTTGGTCGCGTTTGTTCGTGTTGCAGCCTCAGCAGCAGAAGAGCATTGAGGCAGGCAACTTCAGACTCATTTTTTCCGACATTGGCTTCTGGAGACCAGGCTGCCTGTCTTTGTTCCACCAGTGTCCACCTTTGGAAGTTGCGTGGGTTTGGAAGGGGACCTCGGCCCAACTCGCTTTGGAAGTTTGACAACCGGGAAGCCTATAAGACCGAGTTGCCGAAAGCTCAGATTCCTGCACTCTACTCTGTCTTGCCCGCGGACCGGAAAGATCAGATATGAGGCACAAACTTCTGGAGCACGAGCTTGACAACTTCAGAGAGCAGTTCAATCAACTGTACACCAAGTCGGTTGCTGAGTTATGTGTTTGCTCTTTTGCATGTGTCCCTCGGCCTACCAGTGCAAGAGTGACGAGGCTTGCAAACGAGGACGAAGATGGCGACAAGCTGGTAGTCTGTGCCTGAGTTTGCTCTTCCTCCAGATCGTATGTTTCCTGAGCTGAGCTTCTTTCGGAACTGCTACTGACCATGTCGTGGGACAATAGCGGCAGCAGGGTCTGTCGTCCCATAAGCTGTGGCAAAAGTCAAGTACTGAACGCGCCCTGATGTGTTGAGCCATGCAGCGGCTGCCCGTAAGTTCTAGTACTGGACATCAGAGCCAATCTCCTATCAGAAGATGGGTGGTTGGAGGCAGCCAGAGGTTGTAAGATGACAGAGGGGGAACTTATTTACCGTGTGGGGCCAAGGTGCAACTGGGACACACCACTCTTTGGAGGGGTGGGCCTAAGCCTAGGAGCAAGGTCAGCTTTAGAAGCGAGTCGTTGCGGGCCGTTTGGGGTTCGTTGCTAGAACTACGTTGGCAACGGTGCATGTTGTGCGTTGTGAGGCTACCATAGCGGCTAGTACCGCCAGAAGCAGGTGGGTAATTGTAATTTTTCCAAGACCACAGCACCATAACTTGGGCTCTCCCCTCCTTACAGGTGTCGCTAAGGCCCAACAGACGAGACAAACGAAAAACTAACCACAAACCAAACAGACACTCGAAGTAGGGCCGTTGTTCATCTCCGGTAGCTACCTTTGTACAAGTTCCCAGTGAGATCATGTTAGTCTCTGCCAGAATGCGACGCCCCGGCAAGGTGTGACCGTGAACAACGAACATTAGCACACTGAAGAGTTATATGCATCCATCGTGGCCAGACCACGCTTCGCAACCAGGACCAGTCTCCCTCGCAACAAACCAATGCACAGCATGGCATGTTCCTTCTTGCATCTGAACCCAATTCATCTCCACGTGTCTACACCAGCGACATTCGAAGGAGTTCTAATATGTTCTAATGGGAACTGTCACAGTCAGTTGTCGCGTTCGTGCAGTCATTTGGTGCACGAACCCTTCGCAATCTCTTCAGCTTCAAACGCGGCAATAACTCGGTCGCAACATGCCCCGTCCCCAGCTGCTACTTGTAACTAGTTTGGAGGCCGCTACCACTTATTCGGCAGCGATTTTCGGGGATCAATCAATAGAGCAAGCTTGCATGTTCTATTGTTCTCGCGCTTCTTGTAGGCATGAATGCAAGTGATCCGTGCAGACATAAATTTTACACCAGGATGGAATCATTTTTGCACCACGCAAATGCTGACTTTTGAGCCCCTTTTCACGTTGACTAATACGTACCGATGTGATGGGTGTAAGATTTTCGGCATTGGAACCCGCAGCCCTCCCGGGACGAAACCCCATCTCGCATACGACAGTTCCATCCATCAAGCATACGTAGTAGCCTTTTGTCGGCGCCGTTTCGGGGAGATACGAGCATGCCGTGTCCTTCCTTCTTTTTCCAGATCACATTCTTCGCGTTCTGTCGCTAGAGCTCGAAGATCGGACTGTGGCACAAGTTGCTGCGAGCAGTGAGGCTGTTGCACAGCATGAGTCCATCCACAAGCTCCTTAGCTGAGTTTTTGCTTCCAGCAGCTTCAGCCTTTCCGTTTAGATCTTGCAAGGCCGCTGTTATCCCAGATCAACGCGCATGCTTTCCCGGTGTGGGTTGAGCAGCTGCCCGGCCAAGAATGCCTTCAACACGACGATGCCTTGCTTCATGCTGTTGAACCGCACATGTGGCTGGAGCAGAACGCAAGTTAGGCTGGATGTTCCAGAAACGTTGGAGCAGTTCCGCTTGGTGGGTGCTGCTGGAATGGCAGGCCTGCTCGGTAGTCGCAACTAGAGTGCATGTCAAGCTAGTACGGTTCTCTGCCGCAGGCAAGACTGATGCGGGAGCACGGTTGGAATTGGTTGAGCGAAAGCCTCACCTTGCCTACTCTTGCATACATGCCAATCCGCTCGGAACTTGTGGGGAAGCTTGCCTAGGCTGTTGACCATCTCCCACACGCTTCGGTGTGGTCAGGGCTTCAGCGGTGATGAACCATCAATGCTGGCAATGTTTGTGTCAGGAATGCGCAGGGGCGGTTGGCTGGTCCTGGGGGAGAGGACCAAGCCCAAACGCGAAGATGGATTGACACACGGCTTCCAGAACCCTCCCTCCGAAAAAAGAAGCTGGTCCACAGGTTCAGCGTATTTTGGAAATCTCAGGGATCGTTCTCACAAATTTCAATGCGTGTTTCTGCCAACAAAGACACAATCCCGAAGGCAGTGTCTCATGGGCCCGTGCAAGGCAATCGCTCGTAACTAAACTTTGTCTCGTGATGCCAGTGAAAGATCGCAGAGAAGGCCGCAGAAGGGCCAAAACGCCAAAACCCAACGAAAGGCCGGGCACCTCGAGCATTTTGAGGGCGCGATCCCCAAATCGCAAGCTTCCACCACCGGATCAGCCTGAGAGGCCGAATAGTCCTCTCCAGGCTCATCTACCCTCGAACAGTGCGGCGCGCTGATGCTGATGAGTCTCCAGATTCCAAGGGCGTGTCTACAGTCGCACGTGAGCCCTTCCGCTCATCTTGCGTACCAATTTCCCCGCTGTCCGCCGTCGGTTCACATCTTACTCGGGTGTGGGTGTGATAATGCCGCTACAGAGGGGTCTGGGCGTCATCGATGGCGAAACTGCGACTTCTGTTATACTCCGCAGTCGATCGTACTTGTACCGCACAATGCTTTCAGCGACTTCAGCGACGGAGGGTCTGTTGCTCCTTCGTCAAGCACGCTTTGAGAGTCTTGAGGCTGATGCTCCCAGTTGGGTCCGCAGCATTTCTCTCGGTTTTCACTTCCGAACAACATCGTCCCGTCGACCGGTCGGAGTTGTTGACCAATTCTCGTGCCAGAGTTTCTGCCAACCGAAAAACTTGATGCGTCTTGTAGCCGTTAACAATCTGCATCGGCCCGAGATGTTTTCTGACCTTTTCCGTCATTCGCTGCCTTCACCCATCTGCGCCATCCGTGCCGACGTTGATTGCTGCTCCTTGTAAGGCTCTCCGGGTCTCGCTTCGACGCGGTTGCTGTGTTGGACTGTTGGGTTGCTTGGCAATGGAAGGAACATGAAGGAAGTTTTCTAGTACTTGCACCTTAACCCGTTGGAAGACGTACAAAATTGCTCGTGGCAGCTTTGTTTTGCGACAAAATGGTTTGCTCCAGATCAGCTAGCTGGTAATCCTTGACGCATCTTTGCTAGGCGAACCTTAGCGAACCTTGCGATTTTTTGTCACTCGAATGTGTGTCGTTGCCACACCCTTTGTCATATCTTGTGGATTTTCGTCACCCTGTTAGAGCCCAAGAATTCTCAGGATTGTGAGGTCGAATTGAGAACTGGCGCCCTCCACTTGTGCGTGCCTCTGCCTAAATTCACCTCTCGCAAATCCGGCGGCATGCTTTAAAGTGCCAATCGTTCTACTCGAGTTCGAGCCCATGCCCCGGAAACTACTCGATGACCAAACCATGACCGCCGTGACCAATGCATTCTAAACCGTAAATAAACTGGAAATGTTAAGCCCAACCCCCGACCCGTACTGACATCTCCGCACTGTTTCTGTGCGTGCATGAAGTTTGTCTGTATGTGTGCACACGCACGCGCGGTGCAACTCCGTGCGCACACAGGATTGGTGCTCCAGAACAGGCTGGGCATGGTGAGAAGTAAAAGTTTTTGACGCTGAAACCGAGCAAGTCGCATGTCTCACCCTGTGAAACACCGCAGGGATTTGGGCTCTCGAGAGACAAAGGAGTGCTGGCTGCGCTGCATTCGCCCGTGCTTCCGTGTGCGAGGATTTTCCCGCTTTCATGGCAGCGGAGCGGCTGCAAGGCGCTGCTGGAGGCTGTTTGCTGTAAGCGTTGCTTCGATGGCTGCCCCTTACCGGCCGAGCGACCGGGATGCACCGTCGTGGAATGGAGACCCAGCTACGTATGCAGCTTTTGAGACGGCATGCCGCTGGTACGTTCTCACCTTGAAGGACTCAGAGAAGCCTGGAGCAGCGGCCCGTGTGTCGGCCCGTCTGACTGGCCCTGCCAAGAGCGTGGTCCGCCAATTGGACCCCGCGAGCTAATTACCATCGGGCCGACGGACTGGAGAGACTGTTGACTCTTCTTCGGGGCAGCCCTCTCCAAACCCTTCCTGTGCCGGACTGCTTTGCAAAGCTTGAGCGGTGGAACACGCTCCGCCGCAAGGACCACGAGACTCTACCGGAGTTTCTGGTGCGCGAAGATGAGTGCTTGACTGAGCTCCAGCAGTCGCTGAAGCGATCCAGGGATCTGAGCGAAAGCCCGAGGAAGATCGAGGAACCTCGAGGTGAACAAGAAGCGGCCGCGGACCCCGATGCTGAGGACCAGGCGGCCGAGGAGGTAGTGAATGCGGACCTCCGTGCCTTCACGAAGACCTCTCCGAGTTCCTCTCCGAAGCGAACCCCGACGAGATCTGTGGCGTCAGCCCGCGAACACCCGGAGCGGCGGTGGCCTCCGATGCGGAGGAGCGGCCCGACTTCTTCAATGACGAGCTCCGTGGCTAAGAGCTCCTCAAGGCCACGAACCTGGGCGTGCAGGAGAGACAGCAGGTGCTAGGGTTTAGGGTACCTACGTCCGAACCGGACGGTCACC